CCACTACACGACCGCGAGTACTAGTGAGTCACATAAACAAGACAAGCTGTTATTGACGATATCGGCGCAACGTCTGGGAATGTACCAAGTCCACGATCCAAAGCTAGGAATTATGACAACTAGTATATCAGAGGTCCTCGAACAAGGTGCGTCCAACTAGGTCGCCCTGGCAACACGACAAATTTACGAAAACGAGGTCAGACAACTTCAAATATTGTAAGATAGATCGTTTAGGAAAAAGTAATTAAAACTCAAAGCTTGAAGAAGACCGCAGTTTCAACATGAAATTTTAGCGGAAAAGTTCGGCAAGAGTTAAAACCGATCAGTACCAACTCACATTAGCCAGTATACTGGCCTGATCCAGGTCTTTGGTGAAGCGCCGTTGTTCTACAAATAATAGGGTCGGTCCCACACGTTGTGCTGCCTCACCAACGCGATAGCGCGGGTCTCCAGCGTGGCCCGACCACAGCTCTGCCTCGCGGGCCTTTTGGGCCTGTAGCAGCGCCTTTGCTTCGCTGACGGCGCAGGGAGTGATCACAGTCTCGCGAGTCAACTCTTCGTCATAGCGTGAAGAGAAAAAAGTGTCTTCTATCTTGGCTTCATCCGGAAGGAAAGAAGTAGAAGCTTTTGGTAATCGCCTCAGCACATCATAGTGCACGCGATATCGATCCACTTTAGCAAGAGAACCCCGCTTCCACCAGTGAATCGCCATGAGCTTGGCAGTAGGATCGCGGTAAATGCGCTTGCCGCGACAGAGTGCCAGTGTCAGCTTCATAATTCTTATCGACGAAAGCAAGTAAAAAACTTGTTTAATAAAAAGAACTTATACAAAGGGCGTCACTAAAGCCTAAATATCTACTCCCTCCGGGCAAAATAACCCAGTCAAGCATGTAGACAAAGTAAAATCACAAATAAGTTGAGTACATAGCTTTGTTAATACAGAGCTAATTACATCGATCAGGCTATTGTAGCGATTATTTAATCATCAGCTTTTATATCTAAAAGGGTTTAAACCAGCAATAAGACAGTATAGTAAATTAGAGATGAAAATCAAAGTTATTCCAACAATTTTGGCGCATAAAGAGCCTATGAATATGAACGGCATAATGAGGAAGAGTAGAAAATTGAAAATAAGTGATCACGTAGTTCTGCAAGCAGACAAAGGTACCACAGTAGTGATTGACACAACGGAAGATACGAAAAAAATGGAAAATATTCTCTGACAGAACAATTTGTAGACAACTTGCTAGCAAAGGAATCAACAGCTAAAATCAAAGGGGCACTGCAAGAAATGAAGGAAATAAACACGAATGGGGAATATGGTAAATAGACAATAAATTTACGATTACTAAAGTATGCAAGACTATAGGTAGCATTTGGTTCGGTGAGAATACAAGATGAAAAAACACAGACCAAGAGTAAGCAATAAACATGGAGCAACGCTAACCAGCAAAATTCATCTGCTTTGAATTAAGGAAGGTGAATGGCAGACGAACGAATACATATAATTTTTTTCAAGGAACCAAAATCAGATAGGAGAGAACGGAACTATCGGTGAGCTTTGATGTAAAGTCAATGTACATGAATATCTAAGGAAAGAAAGCGCTCACGAAATCTCTGGAGACGGAATAGATTAGAAAAGTAGCTAATACAATGACCAACATGAAGATAAAAACTATTTATTTCATGTTGAACGGCTGCATTTATGAGCAAATATTATCTGCTTATAAACTCACATCTTCATTGGCTAATATATAAATGAAGAAGTTGGAAGAGGATTTCATAAGGTCACTTCAACAATCAACACTAATTATAAAATACTTGTAAGACTACTTCGCATTCTGATCGGAAAATTTGTCGAATTCTCAGTCTCCTTAGGCGATACCGATGGAAACGTCAAATATACCCCGAAGGTGGAGTAGAACGGACAGTCACTTTTCTTGGATGTAGAAGTCATTCGCTCAAAGAAGATGATCATGAAAAGGTTGCTCAGAAGGAAATGGCATGCAGAAACAAACCTATATTTCCAGATCCAAAATACAGACTGAAGATTGTAATAACCATAGAGCCTAAGGCTTACTTATATGGATCTCTTGAATGATAAGCTCAGCATGCTAAGATATTTCTTGGAAGCGAATATACAAAAGAAATAGCACGATACATACCGTTCGTGATAAGATGGTTGAAAACAAGGCTGTAAACAAAAACGCACGGGAGAGACAAGACAATCAGCAAAATGAGTAAAAAAATAACAGCGATCTCTCAGAACTATGGATACGGAAGTTTGGGAATGGCCGAAAAGATTGATCTACTCGGTCAGATCACTTAATGGAATTAAACAGAAAGACTGGCTCTATATAGGAGTAATAATAC